CGATATGGAGGTTCCCTGGACGCAGTTGTAGCGTACGAGGTCCTGACCAAACGTGTGGAAGTTTGGCCTGTCTCCCGTTGTTAAATCCAAACGATATCGCGCCCAGACGTTTCCCACACCGTGGATCGTGCGTAGCTTTGATGAGACTGTTCAATGTGCTGTGTGAAGTAACGTGTGCCTGTTTCCTACTGTTGTTGATCCGTATGTATGCATATATATATATATATATATATATATATATAAATTCTTGTTGTATGTGAGGATGTACCTGCATTTCTAATATTATGAAAAGGTTCAGATGATCGCGGTTGCGCGTTGCACGAATGTTAGTGAAATGAATTCGCTACTTGCGAGTGCGCAAGTAGTAAACAAATTATTCGATTAGTTGAAGGTAAATACTGACGAGACAGTAAACAAACTATGCGAAAGTGTTTGACAGGATAGCAAGCACCATTCTGCCACCCCTTAACGGTGGCCACCAAAGTCCACAAGTCTGAACGTTGACATCCGCAAGTCAAAAAAATAATAAACGGAATATTTGAACAGATGAGCCATGGGTCGCTCGACTATCTTCGCACCCACTGGAGTTGAAGCTCCATTTTATTGCTGATTGCTTTGTTAAAGAAGTAAGAGTAGGTCAATGGGACACCCCTTAGTCACCCCCTCCTTTTGATTTCCAACAGGAACAATCACAGAAAAAAAGCATTGTTCGCCACCTTCACTGTGCTGGTATCCACAAATGGTGTCACATCCAAAATGCCTAGGTTTGCGAAATAGCCACTGTATTTTAGGACATCCATGAGATCCTACTACGACAATAAGTAAACCTGTTGTATACGATGTGACTTTTATTGTCGAAAATCCTCTCACGAAGCGATTGATTCAACACATCCTTTGCAACATATCCAGACATTCATTCATTGACGATTCAACAGACAAGCATGCGGTTATAATATTACAAATCATGCATTCAAAAAATTCACTCCACATTTGTTCCCCATAAAAAATATCAGAAGTTTTTATTGTATCATTTGAGGTCTATAGGTGGTATTTATGAATCATGCTGGAAACCAAGCACACTGTTTTGCTACTCATTGATCTATTGCAGCTGTTTGTCTGTCGCAGTTCAATGTAAGCCGCTAATTCGCCGAGAATGTACCTAGCGTTCGGACAATGCTGTAACCACCAATGACATCGGGATAATACGACGAACCATGCAACCATGCACAGTGCATAGCGGAATCCGGATGCTTTGCCCAAGTGATTCGATTGAGGTTGTCCCAACCACAAAACCATAGGACCCTCAACCAACTGCTTTACATCGCACGGATTTGACGTGATGACCGAAGCCTGGCCGGTAGCGTTTTGTCAGGTTGTTAGACCCGAGGGTGAGAGGGGGCAGCATTGTAATCTAAGAGCAGTTCTGGCATCATATGCTTGACTCATTAGTGAAATTCTATTTATGATGTTTGTAGTTGCCGGATACATTCGTTGGCTTAGTATCAGGTGATTAAAACTGTGGCGAAATTTGACGTGATGAAGTAGCAAGGTGTTTTTTTGCAAAACCACTGCCAAAGCTAAATGATGGGTTTTGAAAACAAGATCCTTTCGAGACTGAGATTTTATACGAATACATGCGGCTATTTATAACTTGCGTCAAGCACAAGATCATGGTCAGGCGACCGTCAAGTGTATGTGATCAAACAGAAAATTCAGGAGAACTCTACTTCAGCTCACCTAAAGAGGAGTTAGATCCATCCGGATATAGTTCCTGAAGCAGCTGAAATGGACAATGTGAAGTAGGTTATTTGCAGCACGTGACTAGTTCGTTTTGTGGAATGTACACAACAAAGTGGGGTACCATCGAAACAACCATATGTTACTAAAACGATCAGCAGCGCTCGTTGTTTTGTAAAACATACCTTGAACAAAGCGCATGTACACCAGTCAAACTAACTTGGTCTCAGTGAAATACGCACCACCAATGGAACTCAACGGGCGTAAAACAACTGAGCAGTATCTCTCGGCTTTTCAGTTACAAAGACCCTAAAATTTTCGAAGTACCTGAAAGCTATGAGGCTGGTGATACTCATATGGTTCCGACTTAATCTGGATTTCAGTCCCTTTTCTGAGTGTCAATTCATTTGTTAGCTTGAATCTGACCTGACTTCACAAATGTAAGTTTCCGTTCATGCTATGATAGAAACGTAACGCTTTAGTCGTATTTCATCCTTTCTTATGCGCTCCCTGTACTATAAACGAAGACGCTCTGCAAAGTTGTCTGCGAGAATAGAAAAATTATCCAAACAACAAGCTCAACAGTGCAAACAACAAAAACAAACAAAGCAACTACAGAGTGCAAAAAGCGGATAACACCAACGACGACAGTCAACGAAAACGTCTGTGTGACATTGGCAAACCTGCCTTAATTGAGCTGTAAATCACAAAACAAACGAGTGGTGAGAGGCATAGCACAACAACTATGTCCAAAAATGTTTTATCTGAATTAAAATTTGTAGAATACACATATATTACTTCTTATCTTATTGTAAGATGTGTAGACACATTCACCAGCCACTCACCGGGGAATCTGGGTTAGTATAACGAAGCTCGGTTCCACGCAAGATATCTCTAAAACGGAGAATAAGCAAGCAAACTATGACTATGAATTTACTGACCTGATGGTCTGCAAACCAACTTTTACGGGTATCTCAATACATTTCTAATTGCGCTGACCTAACATTTTCCTCCTTTTTAGTTGGACTTGCTTTCATCCGAAAGAAATCCTTAGCACAACTCATACTTTAACAATGCTTTCCTTCTGCATGAGCGAAAGTTGCCTCCTCCGTCCGGCATAAATTATATATAAATATACATACATACATATACATATGTATACTTGAGTGCTGGTGATGTAAGAAAACATGGCTATTTTCGATAGAGATTTCATCATGTAAGTGAAGCCAATCTTTGCCTAAAAGCCAGGAGCATTGCACAGCTAATTCATCGTCACTGAACTCATCAGTAGTGCGGATCTCGCGAAAATTGGAGTTTCAAACCCGGGACCTTAAGGCCATAACTTGAGGCCTGAAAAGCAGTGTGGTTAGCTCTATTATACAGGACATCCTCGGGCAGGCATCCTCCAATCACGGTACTCACATAACAGTGTCAAGTACTAGCTGGCTCCTAGACTGACAACTTCTCAGCAGAAAATTTCATTCATCCTGTGAAATTATTCTTCCTCTGAGCCACTTAGTGGTAGCTGATGATGTAAACTTCGGGTTTTTTTTGGAATAGATAGGTTTCATTGGTTGAACGAAAGCTCTACTCAAAATAACTAAATCTTTTTGTGGAATGGTTGAGAGATACACAGTGATGTGGTCTACCGAAGGAGTGATATCTGCCAACATAATGGCTGATAAACGCAACGTTTAGGTGCGGGACACCGGGAACTGGTTGTCAATAAAGCCGTTTCTGATGCTTCCGTCATCTAGGGTTTAACGTATAACATGCTCACGTAGATAATTGCCTCAGCGAGTGACAAACGACAATAAGCTCAGCTAATCCATAAGTACGACGAAATTTCAACAACCCTGTCGTCGTTAAAAAAAGGAATCAATACTCCTAAAAATAATTCAGTCAGCAAAGGTCACACGAGGGAGTACGCTAGTCCATCTTGTTAATTCGTGCCCCATCGCATGATAAAAAGCATAGTTTCATGTTTTTATTGAACGGGTACCGCTGATTTTCTTCACGAAAACGTGCTACTCTGACAGACGGGCAGTTTCTCACAGACACTTGCTAGCTTCAGCGATTTCCACGATCTCCATGACCAACTGTTACTGTCAGCTCAATGGTAGTCCAAACCGAAGACTGATTGAGTTGAGTGTGACGTGCTACCGCGTGATCTGGCGTAAATACCACGGCAAACGGACGGAGTAAGTCAGCCACTGAATAGGTGTACAAAATATGGCTCATTAACTGAAAAACTGCGGCGATTCAGTCGACACCACATGACCTAAATGTTGTGCAAAACCCCTAGTTATATATTTTTCATATTCCACTCACATCAGTGAATATAAGTCAAGCTACGTTTGATATCCCTACAAAACCGTACAGCTGCCTTGTTTTCCCTCTTCCTCAATGGACGCGCCAGAAATTTAGAGCAGGATTCCAACTCAACATTCTGACAATTTACACTAGTATTGAGCTCAAGGCAACCTGTGGGTAGCTTTTGCTAAAATCCACCACTTTTGGCACCGGCATAAAATTGTGGTTGTATGACAAAATAAGGGTATATACTGAGACAGTACCATATACGTTAATCTGTGGATCAAAGACATGGCTTGTACACGAAACATATACAAGAAATCGATTTGTGTCTAAGCATTGGTATCCGCGAAGCTTTACTGGGCTCCGACTGGAACAGCCGATCAGTAAAGCGAGACGCGGATTGAAAATAATCGACAACCTTGTGACGGGAAAACAGAGGCCCGGCGAGAAGACTCAGTCAGTTGGACTACTGTTGCAACCTTGGATGTGGAAGCCGGCAGACACTGACAGTTTCTATCGCTGGAAGATAGTCTATTCCTACAAGCACTGGTGCCTCTGTATCAGCGTTATCGCGCCCACTTGTTTGTAGATGTTCAACTCCTATTTTATGGTGAAACTAGAGTATTTCAAAACCAGTCAAATGATGAGACTAACGCCTCTAAAGCATGTTCACCCCGTCCCTGCCCTTCCATTCTTAGGTGAACAAAAATGAAACAAAGTGCACTCGGTCTATGACTGGTAGTTGAGTGACTTCAGCAGTCTGTAAAACCTTTTATCATTCGAGATATTGTGTTAACTAGTATACGGATTGTAGGCTTATTGTGCGAAACGATGTTTACTGGATCTGCGTTCAATGTACACTCGCAAGAAGGGCAGCGAAAGTTCGTGGGACGTGCACCCTTACGGATTTATTCGCTTATAGTTGGTAAGCGGTCAGAATGATCTGGAGAGTTGGGTGTTCTGCATTAGCCTTCTGTACGAAGTAAACCGGTGCTGCCCAACGGGGGAGCATTCTATACATTTTTCTGTTTGCCGCCAAGACTGCCTCTTCCGAATCGTGGAGGAGGAATTCTCACTACATATTCAGTTACCTTGATCAGTGGGGTAGCTCAAGCGACGCTAACTCATCGATTCATGCACTTGAATCCAAATGGTTGGCTGCATCTCAGTGCTGCGAATACGACATCCCCTACTTCTGAGAAAAACGATCAAGTGATTAGCGCAACTCAGCATTACCTCATGGTATCTTGGTTCCGAATAAAACACGCCTGGATATGTTATCAGAGTCATTGTGTCAAATGTAACTCAAAGAAATTTCAAGATATGGGAATATATTTATGAAAAAGCGGAAAACCAATGCTGTATAATGCTATGCTTGACTTATATACTGGCCGGAATGCACAGAAAGACTTTTCGTAACCGCGACGGTACGATAACAGATGATATGGACAGCATAGCGTCAGAGGATTTCAGTGTAAAAAGTGATGTTAACATGAGACGACAAGCCTAAGGAGAAACAGGAATATTTCAGACTCACGGTGGTTCCGATATATGGATGGCCGGTTGCTGTGGCGAGGACCTGAAACATGATTTTCATAAGTTTTTAAGTATACTTCAAAAATGGTTAATGATTCTGACCTAAATGAAAGGAAGCAATCAGCCGTTCAAATCTGCATAAGCAGAATTGAACGTTATCATCACTTGAGACAAACGAACAAAAGATTGGCATTCTTCTGAGTAAAACTCATGTTAACAGCGGTGGTCAATACTGTTAAATAGGGCAAGAAACACCTGGGATTACGAGCATTTACTTGGGCTTCTCACTAGATCTTCAGGTGTTAAAACCTCATTTCTTTGCTGTTACATTCCGTGGCATCAAGGAAACTGACTAATCCTACCAACTGGAGTAAACTTTCACAGTATTTAACTGAGCGTTTCACATTTCCCATTGGGTACTAATTGAATGAATACAGCATGTTAAAAGCGAATACGGGCGCGTGCAAGGCTGTTTAAAATGCGCAAGTAAATTGAGAACTCGATGGAGAGTGAGTGTCTCAGAGAATTCTTTGAACTGGAAAGTTAACAAACTTACTTTACTCTTGTCCAGTAGTCTATGTAGCTGCTATGCATTTGAATGCAAAACTGCCACAGATAACGTGCATTTTCATTATCTTCCTGCGGTGAGAAATGTAAGAACAGGCGGATGATCGTAAAATAGTATGGTTACACGAATTCTGATATAAGAAACGATTAGGCAGTAAGTGCTATTTCGAATCCAGATTTCGATCTGTTTGTGAATTTTAGTCAAAGCAAAGAGTAGCACTGTGTAGCTGTTCTATCCTTGATGGGGTCAATCCGCATTACGTATCTCATGACAGTCTAGGACGATTCGAACCAACGTTTGTCGGTTATTGGTTGAAGGCTGTACCAAGCGCGCTAGCGAGCGGCTGACCAACATTGTGAGTAGTTTGGACTAAAAAATCTACAGGTAGTCCAATAGCAAGAATAAGCAAGAACAAGCTACCTGGACCTATCACCTGGAAATTCGGCGCTAAAACAGCCTACCATCATGGGAGTACTAAGAAATAGCACCGAATCCTGTCTGAATGCAAGTGTATAACACTGCCGTTCGCATTAAAGGTACGTAGATGTTGTGGGCTCGAAGCACCCAGGCGATTCGTGAGATGCGGTTTGCCATTGATTAGCAACAAGAATCAAACAACTATAGATAATTCCTGGTACTTCAGCGTACGTCAACTTGACTCACACGAGGGAAATTTCCTAATCTCCTCATATTATCGACAAGTGATAGCCCTCACATAGGTGCTATCAACAGTAGTCGATGGAACAACGCGGCAGTTTAGTACAGACTTCATCATCCAGTTTTATCGAAATCAGAACAGCTAGGCTCGGGTAATAGCCCGTCCGCTGTTGACAGGTATGGAATTAACCGAAACGTATTCAGAGAGAAATTTCTATTGCTAGCTCCCAAAGGTGTTTAGGACAGTCCCGACCTATCCAACTATGTAGAAGGGTTACGAAGATCTTATCAGTATGGTTTGGAAACGAATCCCATGCTTCCATACTCGGGTGCCGTTTAGCTTCGGTCGGTTGCAAGCTGCCATCAAGTCATCGTTTGGGTTCCACGGCAGCATCTTTGGTTCAGTGAGGTAATTGGTGTTCGGACAAGCGCCAAGTTTGCTCGCGCACTTTTTGATACCAGAAAGATCACAGCCGCATTGCTTCACGAGATTTCTTCTACTTTCATGACTAATTAAACTTATTTTGGACAAATTACAAGGCTCCACTGTCACTGAATTGAATGAAACCATGTAATAGGTAATGGGTGTTATCAGAAGTTGTAAGGCCTGATCACATCGCTGAAAACGTTATCCCGTGACGGTACAATAGAATGGTCACTCAGCGCTGGCACCGCCATTATCTACTTCTTAAAGCACTTCCGATAGTTCATTCTGATAGCACCAAGCATACGCTAACTAAGAATCGTTCAAACTTTGCGGCCATTCATAGAGTTATGGTGAACCATTTGACTCGCCCCATGAGTGTTGTACATGATGACAACATAATACCAAGAGTGTTGCAGTTAGATGAAGGATCCTGGTCATTCGGACTGAAAGGTGGAAGCACTTCGCTCATCACATCTGTCTCTGGCATTCAGAGACTCTTACTACTTTATCTGCTTGGAAGTCAGGTTCCATCCTTGGTGGTGGTGGTGGTGCTGCTGCTAGTGATGGCAAGGATGTATCATCTCACTGGAACTCCTCTTCTTCATAGACCAATCAGCCCATGACACATGTAAGCAGGTGAGAATGTATTCAAAAAAACAGCTAAATGAAAATCAAAAGCCTATTGACTGAGGCGAAATTACATACCACTTTCGTACAGATGTCATTGGTGGTCGGCAAGACCAGCCTGAACAAAAATAAGCGGATAAAACAGAAGTAAAATGTCGAACATGTAGGCTCGTGTGATCACACAGCGTCGGTTGCAACCTTCACTGTTTACAGCTGATCTAACTCCAATCCGGGACTATGGCCTGGGAACACGGCCAGCGATATACATGTGATGACTCATTTAAGGACATCAACATTTATAAGACTAGCTGACGAACTGAAAGCTCAAGCACCACGTCCTTTGCATTCAAAAAGGCTTGTCTAGAAGGATTATCTTCTTGTGTTCTGCAGTGTCACGATCAAGGGTATGAATTTAAGCATACAAACAGAAATTTAGATGATTAGTTTTTGGACTATCGTAGCAAACTGGGTGCCGAATAATGATCGTGTGACAAACATTTCGAATAGTTCTCTCAACTGTCGATACGTGGCGATGCGAAATCCCTCTAATCAAGTGCATTTGTAGGCTAAAAAAGGACTATGTGTGACAAGAAAATGGGTGGTAGCACTCTTCGCGTAATTCCTCTGAGGCGTAAGTCCTGATTCCCATTGGTCCGGTCAAGGTTCTTTGAACTCAAATAAGAAAAGCAGGGCTAGACGGTCTTTTGGGTGCAGTCGGTTTCCTTTGTGTCTTTCGTTCAACATACTACTTTTACGCAAAAACCGTTCAGAACAAATTCGCCTTCTGCTTAGAAAATTGCACACAGGAGAAAACACCTAATGCAAAACTTTTGGCTAGTCACTACGCAGAGTAGATCAACTGGCTACACAGACCTATTCTGGCCGTTACCTTCAGTAGTCTGCAGAATAAAGCAGCTGCATTTAGAGAAGAGAAGATTCATCTTTGATACAACAAACTGTCAACAATTCATGAAGTTCATATTGGAGAAGCGTTACTAAAGATACATTTACTGTGGCGATTTTGTTGCTTTGCCAAACTGAATTTTGACAAAAATAACTCCAAACTCACGAAAAGAAAGTGAACGGCCTTATTTTTCTTCAGCATCTGGATGGTGAACGTTTTTCTTGAGTAAGTTAGGTCTTTGATATGTTCCCATCTACGCAAACAGTAAGTAGGAAACAAAGGAAATTATCAGTTATTAATATGCAATAAACAGTGTTTATGAATAACCGTTATACCGTAGTTGGTCTGCTAGTCATTAGGACTCTAGTTGGTGTTAGACACTGCAAACTCCCCGTGTTCGACCCTGATCCTTAGGTGTGCTCATTCAACCTTGTCAACCTAGTCCTTATTAGTGTGACCTCAAAGCTGTCATAGGTAAACTTTCTAAAACCCGAGACAGTTAGATCTAATAAGATATTATCTTAAGGTCAAGCCATTACTGACTTTTCAAATGGGAAAAATTTGAACGTTCTGATTAATCAACTTAAAGCCCAACGTCCTAACAAAGCCGAAACAGTGTCTGTTATGCCTATCCTGCATTCGATAGTTTGCATGGTTACCTGCATCTGTTGCTGTGGGTCTTTTTAGAGGCGTTGAACCATGCAACCAGTATAGATTTTCATAAATTCATGTACGTCATGAACCGAATGGCATGTCTGAAGCAGCTTCTTTCATTTCCTCTGCCCAACTTAGTACCGAAAAACTTTCGATCGTCTAACAATGACCGCCTCCTTCTTGGGGCTCAACAAATGGCCGTCCATCAATCACATGTCTCACTTGAACAAACACAGGTGGAGAAATATAGTCAATTGTAAATTACATTGGTGTTAAGGGGGACTAAGCTGAAGCTGTGTCCTATGGTACTCTTCAACTGAATTCGCTGCACATAGGAGACCTCGGATAGCGCGATATTCCAGGTATGACTGTATATTTCGTTAACATAACGTGCTTTTCACAAGGTTACTGAAAAAAACGTTCGATATCTCACTACTGTTCTCGCCATTCTTGGGCCCTTCTGGGAGGCAGAGTCATCACGGAAAGGTCTTATTTGAATATTTATTTGCATGAAGTGCCGAGGTACATCACTTGTTAGCAGGAGGTTCAGCTGAATTTATGATGAGGCAGTATTTTTGCAGCAAAATTGGCTGGAGAATTTCATAAACAAGAGTTGGGTTCAGTAGCTTCGTAAAACCAAAGCGATTCACGAGTGCAAATCACTGGTTCTACACAACTTAGTTTCCACTAAATTGGCCATAAGGTTGACACAAACTCGTGAACTTCGCCTACTTAAAGAACTTCAAGAAAGAAGAAGCCGGTAGCGCGTTGTCAGGAAGTTTTCAGCAGCCCTTAAAAAAGTGTGTTATATCAAATTCCTGATTCAGAGGCAGTTGGAACTTTAAAAAACAAGAATGAAGTCGCATTTGTATAACATGTGGTTGAGTTCTCACTACTCAAACCGTCCTCTTTGGCTGAAAAAAGTACTGAAGGTGACTTGAAGGCAAACCCAAAAAAAGGACATTTTAAAAGACCAACGGAAGGATTTTCAGCAGGTCACTTAGGGTGGGCTCACAGCGCATGGAATGTCACCCTCGGTAGTCGAAACGTCGAACGGTTCCAGTTAATACAGCGATTGTGTAGGACCAGCATTTTCACCATGGTTCAACAATCCACAGCGCCCAAACTCTTACAACTCTTCGGTCATGCCACAGAGATGGCTAAATGAAATAGCAGCTTTCAGTATGTAACGAAAATTCAAGACGAAAAGTGTGTTAAAGCACGACTACGTAAATCCGAGTGTTAGGGGTCTGTCACGCCGAAGGCGTGTATGGTGATGGGTTAATTTCTCAAGGGCAAGCTACCCTCGTAGTCTCTTCACCATTAAGGAATCAAACTAATTTCTGGATACTCAGATAATAAGCCAGTCGTAAGGAAACAAAATCGCAGATATCCAACGGACAGATTGTTGTTAACTTTGAATAAATTCGTGTCCGTAAGGTACAGTTGTCTTGTAGCGTAACTGCGGAAAGTGAAATGAGACTTTTAAAAAAACTCCATTTGGGATCAATAATAATCAGACTGTTGTGTACCTGCTGTTTCAATTCGGTTTCAATACAGGAGAGGTGGCAGTAAGGAACCAACTTTGTTGACGTCAGATTAAATGCTTATAACCATTATCACTCTATCTCGAAAAGTTAATAAGGAACGCCGATCGATCCGCAATAAAATCTCATTATCGGGACAGCACTTTCTCTATGTAAGAGACACCATTCAAAACCTTCCGCATTTTGAGATATTGTTTAGTTATAGGTTCCATTCCAAACTGGTTTAAATTAAGCATTCTGTAGAAACTATTGAGTCACAACCAACCGTTCAGTATCCGCTTAACGGAATAATTCTTGTTTATGACTTGTCCAAGTTATCCACCCTCTAATCTTAGGCTTTCGTAATCCCGAACCCGGCTCAAGATATCGTGAACTCTGACAACTTTCGCTTACCGTTTTCCGTCATTTAACCTCAGAAAATGTTTAAACGATCGCCGATAGTCTGAACATATGAAGTTAAACCAACCCAACCTTCGTATCCGAAGTTGAGCCCTCTTTTCAACAGAAAACGGACGCTCATGCATTGCTTCCTGAGTTGGTTCCGATGATTACAAATGAATACGTTTCATGGGGTAGCCTCATAATTCAGTTGCAACAAGGTCCAAGTGGTTAACATTATCTTCCTAACATGATAACACAAGGTCGATGAAACCTCATGGACAACCCCTCAGAGCTTTCGCCGTTTCTGGTTTCAAAAAGACCAAGTTCACTTGAAATATTCACTTGCAAACAAAGATGGTATCAACAAATAGAATCTCCAGTTTATAGCGCCCTTTCAGAGTTCAAAATTCCTCATCAGCATTACGAGCATTGTGATATGAAGACAGTCTTTTTAATTCTACAGTACTGTAGTTATTGAAAAACGAACTGAGGTTCCTGTGCGTCTGACCTATGCAGCTTCCAATGTTCAGTTACATTCACTTTAATTTTCTTCCTTTACATGAGTATTTCAACTCTCAACTCTCACGAAGAATTGGCGAGTTTTATGCGATGCCCTGAGGCATGCTGGAGGAGACATCAAAGCTTGAATCATAAAGGGCCCGAGAGAGTTCAGTGGTAAAGTCACCAGCTTACGGACCGGGAGGTGCGTCGTTCAAATCTAAACTCAGCATCTCGACTACTCCTGTCTAGGCTAGGGCAACCTGGCAGTATTCCAACCCTAGTGCCTCCTTCCGTTGGCATGGCAACTAGGCGCCGAAGGCGTGCTACAGCTGAACAATTTGATTGATCTGACCAATCATATACAAAGTAGAGCTGCCAACAAACAGTTGGTTATCGTGTCATCCCTTTCGACTGCTTAAGGCCAGACAGAGGCTGCGTTTTTATTTAGACCACACCCAAAGTTCGATAAGCTAAGTCACGTTTGTTCACACCAACTATCAGACCAAATACTCCTTAACCTGGGACCAAAACATCAGACTGGACAACAGAATTGGAATAGCAAATAATTCTAAAAGGGTTCCATAGAAAAGCCTCTAACAGTTCACAAGGGAAAATAATCAATACAGTCCTACGGTAGATCGTTCCATGATCCCCATCTGTGCACTAGGGGTATGTCGGAGAAATCTGTAGTGTACCCAAAGACAGGTTGTGCACGTGCAAGTCTACAAGCTGTGTGTGTGCGTGTGCACGTGTGGACACGTGCCCACGTCGGATCGATCTGCATTGCACACAGATGGGCAAACGCTACCTCTGAATCAATGCTTCCTTGGTGCGACATGACAGTGGTAACCAGCAGCAAATCTGGTATTGCGGCCAGTCCGTAAATGCATTGTGAGTGAAAACGAATGGCGAGGAAGCATTGAAACACTGTGACATTTAAGAGTTAAGCTTTTATCCCACACTGAAGCCATACATAGTTGTTCTTATATACTGTGGAAGCTTCATGCGAATAAATTAACCTGATCATCAACTACAACCCTCTCTGTAGGAATTGTCCATGTGGAACGTAAAAGGCAAAACACAAAACGGAGGCCTATCCTAACGAGCCTCCCATTGGATGTATTGCCTTCATAATAGGAATTTCTTCAAGAGGAACCGCACAATGTTTCCAAATATTCCACTTCTGCCAGTGACACGACCAAATTAATAATTGATGAGTGGTGTTGCCAAGCGAGATGGTGCCAAACCCATATCAAGAGCTGAATATTTTCAGAGTTAAGATCCCGACAGGCAAACAGTTGGTATGCACTAAGTCACACATTCGTAATGCAAACGCCTCAGCTTTTGATGGAATGCACGCTTCGGTTCTCCGTTTGGTTATACATGGTCTCTATCAACAGATGACAATGTGCCGTGGTCCCCAAACACCCACGAGCCCAGTTATCATAGCCGGATCCAGAGGAATGTGTTCTCATGAGATCTTTCAGAAACAAACAAAAACCACAATGGCCTCATCATCAACATCATCATCGACAGCATGACATCAGTGTTCAACACCGATGTTTCACTGTCGTACAACTATGACTGATTTGAAAGCCTTATTGTAAAGAAAAGAATAAAGGTGGACCGGTGGGAGGGACTTAGTGCTAGCTTAACACAATCATTCCGAGGTGCCTACACCTCCAGACATTCACTCAGGCAGTCTGGATAGAAACTGACAACAAGAACGCCACTGACATCGGTTGACAGCCATATCTTGTAGTTTCTCCAACCAGACAAAGTGGGGATCACGCGGTGCCCATCCTGGAAGGTGAGTAGCACCGACAGCACCCAAGCGTTTCGTGATCTCCTTCATACTCCTCTGCCAAGTCAAGGGTTGGCCACTTCTCTGTTTACGCCACTCTGAGTTGGGCATGGAAAACAGCACTCTGTTCGGCAAACGATGGTTCGGCATACGTAACACATGTCCCAACCAACGCAGCTTCTGGTGCTGGACACATTCTTCAATGGAAGTACCCGTTTGATGGAGGTTGGGCTCGGACAGCAAGACAAACTCTGTCCTCTCTGGAAACAACTCTATACGGCACCTAGGAGGACGAGAAATATTGCTGGTGTCGGACATCAGCAGGGCAAGTTGAGACTGTTAGCGAGTATGACATAGATGCTGTGATTCTGGATGTCGATTATGCATAGAATTTAGCTATGGTAAGCTACCCGAGAACTATTCGTCTAGAGGAGGTCCCATCCTTCCAACCGGTTTGCAGCACTGTTCCAGTAAGAAACTCTCCAGTGTGCGAGTCTCCCTTTTGCGAATACAGGTCATCCCTAGAAATCCTAAAACTATCTTTCCTAATGACAGTCTTCTTTCAGTGGATTAATGCAACTGTCCAGCACAAGTATCGCTAAATCATGGAGACCCAAAGTACGACAATACTTCTAGAATTTATCCCCAAGTCTACAGGAAAGTGTGAAGAATCAAGCAGTCATAAAATTTTACGCCGATGGTAAACGATGAAATTTCGATAGCTCCTCGAGGTTGGTTGGCAGCTGATTTGTTTCGTGAGGTTGGCAAGTAGATGTCTACAGAAGTTTTAAAGTAGCAGAAAATTGCATGGCTTCTGCGACAGGACAACTAAACTGTAGATACTGGCTACAAGTTTGGTATAGTTCCCGGCTGTAGTAAGACTAGCAGAAGTTAGCGAAAACGATCATTGTGCTTTTACGGTTCGAAATGGCCATAAATAGAAGTTTCGAAAACTGTTCTATCGTAGTCAGCCTATACTGCTACTCTCGTAGTCCATACGAAGAGTGGTGTGGTCTTTGTCTTGTTAAGACGAGTAAGAACCTCCGATATACATAGCTGAGAACGCATTGGACGTTCTGTAGAGTAATCACAATCTCCCCAATTCGCAGCTATTTTTGGGAGGTTCAAGGTGGCGAGATTTCCTGTGCAACTCACTGACGACAGTCGCGTTGCATTTCTTCATATTAAGTGTTCGACGCAGGAACAGACGAACCAAAAAACGTAATTATGATGAGGCCAGTCACTTGTTAGTATGGATACACTGCTCCACTGCCTATGGGAGTCTTCAAGATCAAAAATTCCCAAAGAACAAACCAAGTCTAGCACATCCGCAGATTAGAAAACTGATCAAAATCTTAAATGAACCAAAGCTACCGGAACTTTACACAGGTCAGCCTCTACAAGAGCAAGTTGTACCAAAACGAAGCTCAAAACATAAAAGTGAGCAATTCATCTTTACTTGTACTATTGTGTGCACTGTCTTCTGACGCCTCACTATGTTAACATCAGGTAGTAAAGCGTCCATGGATGGACAAATCTAATCCTAAGTTGCTTCGAGTCGAATTATGCCCGCTAAGACTTTACCAAATTGACCATCTTTACATGGTTCAGTGAAGTAAAATAGTTAGATACGGTGCTACAACAATCACAAAGGACTCGAAGAAAACTGAGCATAGTTTTTTTCATGTTTCTACTTAATCACCGCTCACTTCAGATTGGCTGTGGTGCGTTGTTGTGGTTCCAAAGTCATTATCGTGACGCCGTTTCTGGATACACCCAGTTCTGCAGGTTCATTTCGACAGGTCTGAAAAGTTTGGAAGAAAAACTACCATTACCAGGAACTTCTATCTGTTTTGGGCACACGTAGCGCAAGGAAAAGTGAATTAAACTCAACTCCAACTATGCACAATCCTGCTGTTACTGAATACCTACCATGCCGCGGAAAGTCCGGACTCCATAGCGTGGAATGTGTCTGATTTCATCCAAAAAGTACCATATGGCATTGTCTCGAGTCACACCTTGTAGGTGGACGTAACCCCATAGGATGTCGTCGATGTACTCCGTGGAAGACAAATCGAACGCCCCACACAGCTGACTCTGGTAAGTAGAATAAATAAATCATTCAATTGTCAGTTGAATACTGAAAAGTTTCAAAATCTTGCAACAACAAAATATTCTGTTGCTAGTATTGGTTTGTACGACAGTGAAGCGTCAGTGCCAACACTGATGTTGCTGTCTTTGATGATGATGATGATGATGATGATAACTGGCTTGGTTAGCGGTTGGTTTACGTAGACAGATAGTCAGATTATGTGTATGGATGGTCAGTTGTCCTCTTGGATCGTATGAGTACCAAATACCGGACTTGAAAACAAGATCGGATGTGATCACATCCGATCACAAAGCCCATAAACAGGGAACTTCTCGTCATTAATAGGGCAAAGGGGGGTCGTTCATTTTCTTCTGAAAACTCTTCGACATTTTACAACCAGCTCCGCCCTTTTCGAGGCTTATCAGACGTACACAGTCCCTGATTCGCTGTCAAGTACATAAGCCATGCCAGCAGTTTTACTGCGCCAACCATGTACGCCCCTTAGCTAGTCTAGTAAAATCGCTGAAGAAATGGCTAGTTTCATAAATCCATGTAGGTACTCTTAAGGAAGGCACCCAAGTGAAAATGTGATTACGATTAACTGCCGCAAAACTTATTCTGCCGGTACGGTTCTGCTGCAGCGTACTCTTCTGTAACGACAACCTCCCTAGAGTGAGTGCTTTAATTCCCTCTATTGTTACCCTCATAGAACGAAGTCTCCCACTTTTGTCTGCAACAGTCCGAGAATACTAGTTCTCACCTAACCAGTTACACTCTTTATCTTTCAAGTTAAGAATAAAATAACAAATTTCTGTGGCATGCATTTCAACCAGCAATGAGGCGCTGAATTAGCACACATTCCAAAAAAGTCCGTACCTCTGGAGTGGAGTTTCTGACCGATTTTGTTAGTAGCAGTGGTGGGGAGACTTTAAAAGTTTTACTGAGTGCAGTGGCCGTTTCGGCTGCCAGGTTCACTGATCTGTCGCATATCTAGAGTGTTGCTATCCCTTCACACCGGCTCAAGATGTGTGTGCAATAAAAATGAACGACCAATAGCCGCAGAGAATAAGCTTAAGAAATTCAGGTTCAGCACACGAAATCACGAAGAATGAAATCCGTGTACTTCCATAAGCCTAGACGGAGTTGACTACAGTTCAGTTTTTAGCCCGTGAACCGTGCATTAAAACGCGCAGTTTACATGCTTAGCGAATAATCCATATTGTGACCCTCCTACTTTTGGCGTTTGATACGACGCTTTTGCACTCTACTGGGACTTATTATCTCACGTATCAAGTGAGTTCGTGCCTCCAGAAACGGTGGCATTGTTAACTTGATGTACCCACAAGCCTCGAAAAGTGCATCCGGGACGATGGTCGACAAACGCTGTTATGGAAAAAGTGACCTTGAACCACGTATGTCCAATCACCTTCTGTACAGTTCGTGCTCACTACAGCTTTTGTCGTTTTGGACAGAATAATATTTTTTGGGATTAATCGCTTTCGAAATCTTGCTGAGTTTACTTTACGTTTCTTTCAGTTAAGCTTCATTTCATGCTAGGATTTTTGCTGAGATAAACCCGGTTAATAATGCACCGCTTGCACCACTTCAGTGCGCAGATACCTACCACCTTAAATCATCGTGAACGAAACTACGGCAGCTACAACCACTGTACGACAAGTGCGCGGTTATTAAAGCCGACAATGATGATGGTGACTCGAGCAATGACATCTCCAATGACACTTTTACTCCACAGGTGAATTTTCTTTCTCCTCCGAGCAACAGACAGATTACAGGTAGTGTGAGCATGCTTGAGAAGTTTTAGTGAAGAGATTTCGTGCAGTAAATGATGCTAATCTGTGCACGTCTGGCGAAACTCCAGCGAGTGAGAACCAGCGGCTTCTCAACCTGCAGTGAAAGACCAGACCGAACGATCTAAACCACGAACATGCTGTAATTAGATTAGAGGAGCAATGATTTAGACGATGGCTGAAACTTCCACCCGAAAAGTCACCGTCACGCAAGGAGCCAATCGACATGTGACAGCGGGATGGGATTCCACGATTGGATCAAGAATGACGCAATATCCTGCACAAACTACTCACACAGTTGGACAATTAAGTGTTCGAGATACTGACAGGGGAATCGCATTTTCAAGGCGCTTCGTAGTTTTGTGAAGTGTGCACTGCTGATGATTGCCAATAAAATTGAAGCAGATGCATACAGCCCCTTTGTTTTTCAGCACAGACTGACTTTACTTGCAGGACAAAATCCCCATTAAATCACGTAATGCAACCCCGCAATCGATTCTAACACAAGAGAACAAGCACCGTTACTTGTGCTCCGGGGACAATTTTGTGCCAAACACACAAAATGCGACTGGACAGACATGAAGCGACAGCCGTAGACATTCTTGAAGAGTACGCTTAGATGGGTTCCACGGCTTTCACAATGTGGACAATCAAAGAATCAATTCCACTTACTTCTGACACTGCGGCCCGTTCTCTCCAGTTGGACAGGGTTGTTTCCACATCAACGAAGTCACCAAAATCAGCTTGAAATATATAGAAAAATACACCGAGAATGACGAAAGTTGTTAACAAGTATGGAAAAAATAAGGTTTCAACTAGTAGTAATAAGCACAGTTGTAGTATATTCGGGTACCGAAAGCTTGATTGTCTAGAAGAGGAGTTTCCAAATGCAGCATGCACTGCATTCTAGTTAGATATGAAATACTGGGTTTGCAAATTCAATTTACTTACAAGCTAATCTGGCCTCAGGAATAGACTCAGTTGAATCCCAGCGGAGTAGCTCAGTTATTCTACAAATATTCTACAAATGAATGCATTGGACAAAGGCCGCTTAATGGATCCATTGGCACGATATCCGAGATGTAGCTATTTATTTCCTTGTTGGGACCGTTGACAGCCCACAACCAGCTTCGCACTTCTTAGAGCTCATCAAGCGGGCGCATTCTTCGATTTCCTGTTGACCGAAGGTTCTGCTTTTGAGCAATTTGCAACTAATTTGTTCTAATGGGAACCTCAGTTTAGTCCAGCTGAGCAGTATGTTCCGTCACATTAAAAAGGTGTGCAGCAATCCCCCGAAAGTAACCCACCCCATGTGGATTGTACATTGGTGTTTTTCGTCAGCTCAATTTCTATAAGTGGAGAGAAATCCACTTGGTACAAGTAAAAAGTTTCCTTTCGCAATAGATGTATCTGAGTGCAAGAGAATCATCTACACTCTTCTCTCCGCAACAACGGATGTGCACTTTGACAGTCAAACAAATATGGACATTGGAAATTCATGCTATTTCCATCGGCCACCTCAGCCAGCACAATTGTTCTGGTAACATCCTCAAGAACATTCAGTCGGAAAGGATTGATGCTGTAGGGAATGGTGCCACCCAATAGTCAATCATAGATTAAAATGTGGATGTGTAATAGCTTATCTTCATTTCTCGTTTCTCAGCCATAAAAATATAACCGTTAAGGTGCAGTAAGCCTGCTTTTTACCAATGCCATAAATGTAGGGAATACTCCAACGAGCGTTACATCAAGATTTTGACGAAAATTGAGGCGCACTCTAGCTGAGAGTGCGAATACCCGCAGCATAGTCTTTCCACTTCAAACGTGGAATTATGTTCATTGCAGAACACGAGTGATCTCCTGAATCTAGTCTACTTGCAGCTCACATCTGTGTTCGTGTATTTTGGATTTATTCTTGTGGTTATTTGGTACACAACTGAATCGTTAGTTTCGTGCATCAAAATGCTTCATGGTATCAGTCTTCCATTTCATTCGATGAAGAACACTCTATGCCATGTAAGTGTCGAGTGAGGTTTGTGCACAATCAATTAGCAGACGGTTATTAGTATCCTCATCGTCACGAAGAGACTGAACCTTACCGTGGTGCGACGGTTTGTGCACCTCAGCGATCCACTGAGCTATACTGGAGAGTGTCCAGCGACACTCACAGAGTGAGTGTGGTAAACACAGGGGGATCAGCTTGACCCCGGTTGTAACGAGACTGTTGGCGTCAATTATGCTTCGTCACTTTAAGGTAACTCGCGAGATACTGACTCGAGAGCAGCAAGCGGGATTCCGGCCTGGTAG